TCTTACTGTATTCGGCTACCCCAGTTTTTCGCGCCCTGGGCGCTATGAAGATGGGGGGCCTGCAGCCCCCGAAATCCCCCAGCCCGCATGGCTGGCTGGGGAATTCTGAGAGCTGAAGTCCACCCATCTTCAAGCTGCCAAGGTCGAGAAACACTGGTGTAGCAGATAACTGTACACAATGCTATATTGTGGCACACACCTTCCCCAACAATAGGCTGTTTCTCTGCGTTAACTCCATCCTCCTAGGCCTTGCAAGTTGATGTAAATATAATACTCAGTCCTTAAAACAAACAAGTCTCAAAGTCTGTAAAGGTTCTTGTGCTGGTTGGGGTGAGGGGCTGCCTCAGTGTGGTTGTCCTCTTCTGGTTGCTGCTGAGCTCCAGGCCGAGCTCCAAGCTCTGCTGTTAAGCAGGGTTGTTCAAGCCCTCCAGTTGAGCTCCCAAGACAAGCTCCAGGCAGGACTCCCACCAGGATAGGCTGCTCACCGTAGCTGGTGGTCCTGGCAGCTGACCGATAATCCTCTTGCCTCCTGTAATAGGTGTCAGTCTCCAGATGCTGCCTCCCATTTCCTCGTCTGCTTGCCCTTTTCCTGTCTCCTTTTCTTCTACACACCCACCCACGCTTTGTCTTGGCATTTGCTTTTATAAGCCAAGGGCCTGGGTGGGGTGAGGCTGCCTCTGGATGTTGGCAGGTCTTTGAAAACACCAGGGTGTGGCTCAATGATCATAGGCAGCTGGAATGCTAGCTTGGATGTTTGCAAGTAAACTGTGTGATGGGGGAATGAATGAATGAATGAACGAATGAACGAATGAACGAACGAACGAACCCATCTCCTCTCAAGTTTCTGAGTCTGTAAACTTTTACAGCCCTTTGGGAAAAAGCATGAGCTGTGCTGAGCTTTGGGGAGGTGGGGTGGGAAGCGTTTCTGCCTGGCTGCAGCTGCTTTTCCCAAACACAAACAGCAATCCCAGCTTCACTTCCTCACATGTGGTTGGAGGAGGAGTTGCGCAGGGGCTCCCCAAATCCTGGTCCTACCAGAGGTTGGAGCCAGCTTGATTCTCATGGCTGCAGGGAAGCGGCTGTGTCAATTGCTCTGAACCAGGTTGGCATTGGCCATCATCTGCATGAGGAATGTAATCCTCCTTGCTGTCCCAGAGGTCTGCTGGAGACCGAAGAGCAAAGTCTCAAGAAGGCAAGCGTTCTTCTCCTTTGCTGAAGCAGGCTGGCTCCCAAGAGTGACCCTGCTACATCCAACCTCAATGAGGTTCTGCTTGGAACCTCCAGAAATGGAGCAGAGCTGGGGGAAACAAAACCTGGAGATTTCCACCCTCCTCCTCCTGATGCTGAGTTGGAGAAAAGCAAATGCCTCATGATGCTTTTCTTTCTCCTCCCCATCTTGATGTTCTCGATAGGTGGCTCAAACAGACCGCCTTGTGTTTCTTTTCTCTGAGCCCTTTGCTCAGTCTTCATTCCCCCATTTTAGTTGTTGGCATGCCAGGGAACCCATTCATCGTCTCCCAAATCTTAGTGGACAGTCTGTTTCGGAGCCATTAATCAAATGAAGTGGTTCTCATCAGGAGGGTTCCCACATGCCAGTTCTCTGTGTCAAGGAGGTAACAGTGGTTAAAGATAAGTGGAATGCACTGAGTTTTTTATTTCAAATAATTCTCTTGTCAGGCAGTTGACCAATAAATATTAAAATAATACAAGACACAAGACTATCTAAGAAACAAGACTGGGCTAAACAACAGAATCAGCAGAAGTCTTAATCAAAATGGTGAAGGGTCTGATGAAGAACTTCTCAAGGATTCATTTCAACGTTGCCAATAAGAGAGGCTTGATGAAGGGATCTCCAAAGATGCTCATCCACCAGAACCATGTCTCAAATTGAGAAATTCCCAGTGGTTCCCATGGGAGTTGGGCTATCTGCTCTAGGGGTCACACGGGAAACCAGGAGTTGAGAAACCCAGACCCCCCTGGCTTTTTCAGATAAAATAGCATTTGTGTCCAATATGTTTAGTTCTTGGTTTACATCAGAGGTCAACAACTCTGGGGTGTTAAGTAGCAGACTTAGTGATCTTTGCAATGGGAAAAAGATGCTCGTGGGAGAGTGATGGTGCAGAGTGGGAGGAACTGCATCATGCATGGAGGAGGGGAAGTTCTGTATGTTAAGTCTGTTCTAGAGTAGGAACTATTTATATGAATTTTGGAATGGAGGGAAAATGATGTTCATTGTACATCAGCATCTGCAGCTGACCACAATAATAGAAAAATTATATGTACACAGTAACATCATGATGCACATTTGTTTGCCTCCACTTGCTCCACACATACACACACACTCTGGAATGCACTTATGGCAGTGCAGTTCGAGATGGTGCTGGGCTACAAGTTGCCTGTCCTAGTTTACGTCAAGAATAACACCAAAGACTTGATGTTGTTCACTTCCAGATAACTCTGTTTGCGTTTCCAGAGCCAACGCTGGCCATTCTTGCAGTGCAGTTCGCTTCCAAAAGAGAGCCTTCTCACTAACTGATTTCATTGGTGTCTGCCTTTCTTCTGCAGAGAAACAGCGAGAGCTGGCTCGGAAGGGGTCTTTGAAAAATGGCACCATGGGCAGCCCAGTTAATCAGCAGCCCAAGAAGAGCAACGTCATGGCACGAACAAGGTAGCTTCTTCTCCGTAATGAGGTGCTTTGTATGGGCATTAGTCTACAGGGCGTCAATTGGGGCAGGGTGGTTTGGGGAAAATCAGTGGCCCCTTGCTCTGGACTAGGCTGGGCCGATGGGATAAGGGGTGGGCAAAGCCAGGGCAGATCATTCAATATCAACAAGGGTTGAATCAATAGCAGGGACTCCCCATGTTTAGTGAAAGGGGGCAGAAAGGAGCAGAAGGGGAGGTATGTGATGAACTGGCTAACTGACCTGTCTCCATTCTTTGACCCCACACCTGTTCCACAATTAAATACTGATAAAGATAAAGCAGTGACCATAAAATGGAAGGACAACCAAAAAGAAAATAAGAATAGAGCCAGGTCAAGATGATAAAAATACCCCATTTCCAAAGCTGCACCCTGAAAAGTTAGAGTAAAGGGGCTGCAAATACCTGCCTTGGGGCAAGAAGAATCAGATGTTGTAAGCATCCTAACCAAACTTGGTTTGGGTGGGGGGTGTACATTTTTCAAATAAGTAAGTAAAATGCATACAGATGCAAGATGACAGTGCTTGGCTTGATAGCAAGAGAAGTTTTCATAGATTACAGCAGTGTTTCTCAACCTTGGCAACTTTAAGCTGCGTGGACTTCAACTCCCAGAATTCCCCAGCCAGCCATGGGGAACGCTTAAACCCAGCCAGCCACGCGGCTTAAAGTTGCCAAGGTTGCATAGATTACAGCAGTGTTTCTCAACCTTGGCAACTTTAAGCTGCGTGGACTTCAACTCCCAGAATTCCCCAGCCAGCCATGGGGAACGCTTAAACCCAGCCAGCCACGCGGCTTAAAGTTGCCAAGGTTGAGAAACACTGGATTATAGGATAGACAAGGACTGTAGGCTGAACCTAAATCAGCAGTACAATGTTGAAAGTGAAAAGCCTACAGTTTTGCTGTCAGGATCATGAGAAATATTGGTGCTTCTCAACTCTGTTTTGGGCAGTCCTCATCAACTTCATCAATTTCTTAGGCCTGGCAGCCTGAAGAATAGCTGAGACAGACTCAGCTTTGGAACCAAAAGTCCTTCCCATTTTTATTCCCCATTAAGAATATCTGTTTGCCTGTTGTTATCTTCCAAGTCCTAAGAGTTTAAGAAGTTGAGCTCCAACATCAACTGGAGGGCATTAGCAGGTCTGTCACTTATTTATCTACAAGAGAACAAAAGGATATGTCAGATGGGTGGGAAGACATTTTCCTTCTTTTAAAAGATTTTTTTCCTCTCTCAGTACAAATTGACTCCTCAGTAACACTTGAGGTGCTTCAACTGGGTTTGGGGTTCCCATAGGAATGCTTCTCTTTCCACGTTCCATTTATCATCATGGGGATGATGGACAGAATCTTGGGAATGCAAGGAAAACATTGTTCAACTGAAGAGGCTACCAGTTAGTACTCAAAAGGAGTTCTGGGTGCTGGATCCCAATGGGAAAACTGGATGCAGTCATGGTTATAACAAGTCAATAGAATGGGAATAATTACTCTCAATGAAAATGACCATCCCCAAAGTTCCTACCTTTGCGAGTTGGGTGGCCTAGAAATATGACAATTAAATGAAATTATTTTTAATATAAATTAAGAATGTTATTACATTTATTAGCTGAGGAGCTTTTGCTAGACCTCCTTCAAAGACATAAACAATTAAGCCAAAGAATGACTCTTTTTTTTTGAAGCTTGCTTTGTGAAAGGGATACACTAGTTGGGGAGAAGACTCCTGAAAAGGCAAGAGAGAGAGTGTTTGTCTGGACACATGTCAGCAGAGAAAGATTTTACTAAGAGAATCTGATGCCTTTGTACACTCAATTTTTAATTAAAAACAATCTTCTTGATGTATTGCGCCTCATTGGTCAACACATGAATTAAAACCATGCTGTTCAAGATGAGCTCGACAATTGTTAGTTTAACAGTGTTGCCTAGGAGAGATCATGATTGCGTTACACCTGATTTTCTGTGGAATGGGAGACCCCCAAGAGATCAACCCTTCAGCTGTTGAGCAGAGTGCAGCAATACTCCTGTTGTACAGAGTGCACCAATACTTCCAGGAAAGTTGCCCAGGAAAAATACACATCAGCATGAGAAATTTACAAAATGCAACGTCCATATCTTGTTTCCCAAAGAAATCCAGCCAGAAAATATATACTAACTGGTGTTTATTGATAAAAAATGCAAAA